ACCTCCTCGTCGACCGCCCTCCAGCGCTCTAGGGCTAAGTTGCGTTTCTTCTGTCTAATGGGTCTGACTATAGGGTCAGTATTAAGTTTGTGAGTTGAAGGTTGGGGTCAATACCGGGCATATCGGCCGTGGACCATGCAAAAATATCTAAATTTTGAAGTAAGAAACTCACCAGTTTGGTTCGTAGAGGTTCCTTGACGGAAGCACCGATCTGTAGCGTTTGAGTTGGGTCCGTAGCTGAAGTTGGGATTGCGACCGTTTCCTCTATGGGCGAAGCTCGTTCCTCGCCTTGCTTTGTAGGCTACTCTAGTTCGAGGTCGTCGACCGCCTTGGTTTTTCCCTTCAGGGCGGCAACATAACACTTGCGGGACTCAAGCTGGTCACCCCACGCTACCCCCACACCGAAGTCTGTAGGGAACTTCATTGCCAAATAGTAGGTGGAGACCACTGCCCGTAGGACATGCGTGATTGGCCGCCCTATTATGGCATTGTATGGGGAGGGGGTCGCGACCACCTGGAAATCATGGTTGAGTCTGACCGCACAAGGCCATGTGCCGATTTCCACAGGTACTGTTATTTTCCCGAGGGGCCTGACTTCCTCCCTGCTGAAGCCCACCAGAGGAGTGTTCACGGGCTTCAACTCGCTTCTCTGCAATTGAAGCTGGTCAAACGCCGACTTGAAGAGAATGTCCGCCGAGCTGCCTGAATTCACAAGTACGCGCCTGACTTCGCAGTCGCTGATCCTTAGTTTTATGACAAGCGCATCATCGTGGGGGTAGTGGACCCCTCGCGCATCGTCTTCCGTGAAGAAAATCGGTTTTTCCGTCTTCGGCCTCTTCGAAGTGTTCTATTCTTCTCAAGCAGCTTTGCGAACTGACGTCCGGGCCGCTGCCGAAGTACAACCTACTACCACTGAACCTCCGACTATCACGTGGATGGTTCCCCGAACTGGCCTCTCTTTTGGAGGCTGTCTTTGCAACGGTTCGACTGGCCTGCTGCTGGATTCGGGGGCATCCCTTCCATGCTCCCCTTGCCGACCT